TTACATGGAATATAAAGTTTTCTCACTGTCTTAAAGTCAACTAATGAGCATTTATAAGAATATCATTAAAAAGACTACACTATCAGAAGGAAAATACAAGAGGAGGAAACAAAGAAGAGAAGTGAGGCCATATAGAAAGGGTAGAGGAGGAATGTAACAGAAACAAAAAGTATATCCAATGATGACCATAGGCATAGCTCTTTATAACAACTGTGGCATCAGCAAAAATAACAGTAACTACTTATAGGGCCCTCCTATGAGCCAGATGAGCCAAGCCCAATCCATATATCATATCATCCTTACCATGCCCTTGAGAAATGCTGTTCTCCATTTTACAAATCAAGAGAAAGGGGCATGAAAAGTTAGGAATGTGTTTAAAATCACAAAGCAAATTAGAGATGGGACTTAAAGGCTAAGGTGTCCGAGGTCAAAGCCTAGACAGGCAAAAAATTTGAAAATCTTTTATTTATGATAGGACACATAGCTTGAAGTCTTGTTTTGATGTGCCCACAATGTGGACTAGCCATGCATTCTGGTTTGCCAGGAACAATCCCAGTTTCCATGTATTTGCCAGTGTAATTATTAATTGCACTCCCTTTCACTCTCAGAAAAGTCCCAGTTTACAAAGGAAATTATATGATCATCCTGCCTCAATGCCACTGACCCACAATGGAACTGGTCTAGACAATTTTCCAGACCTGATGCAAAATAAAAATGTGAGGACTCTAGTTCAAAAAGCAGGGGACTATGGGAGAATGCTATTAAAGGTATTGAAATAAAAAGCTTTTTTCTTTCATGCATCTGCTCTGCTCATGTCCACCGTCCCATCAGATTTCATCCGCAAAACACAAGGTCAAAGATAAAATTGGTAAGAATTTTAAGAGCATTAAAACAAGCTGGACGTCCCTCCCAGTTCAGAAGCCCGGGCCACAGCACAGGATGTGAATACATGAAGCCAGCCCTGGGTCTTCCCTTTCTCTGTCCACTCACATGAGTCTGTCATCTTGGCAAGCTCTGCCACAGGTTTGCAAACAGGAAACAGGTTGTAACTTACTACTGTATAGACTTTGGATGTTAAATACTGGATATTAGGTTCATATAATCATTTCTTTAGAAGAAATGTTTCCAAATACTTTTAATAAAGTACAAAATTGCATTTCCCAACCAAAACAAAAACATAAATTCAGGCAAATTAAGTCACTCTCTACCATTTTATCTGTGACCTAAAAATAATAAATTTAGATAGCATAGCCTATTTAAGATCTCAAAAAAATTTTAGAATATATGAGATGAAATAATAGTGCATGCAAAGTTTTTAATACCTTAATGCCTGATTTAAATCATGTTTCTGTTTTAAAGGCAGGTACTCATGTTTAATCTGAAATTTTTTGCTGCATAAATTCATATGTGCCTGAGCAAAACTGAAGAAAATTCTACTGTCTATCTAGACCAAATGGAAGAAAACAGGAAATCAAAATGTTAAGGATGATTGAGGCACTGTCCTTAAAAACGGAGTGGGAGGATAGAGGATGGGCCAACACTCATTCATGTATGCACTCAACAAGCATTTATTGAGTACCTACGATGTCACAAGCACTACACAAAATTATGAAAAACACAGGCACACAAGGTATGTCCCTGTCCTCAAAGAGATCTAGCAGAGTGAGACCAAAGTAAACAAATGCACACATCAACTATTTTGGGAACTGTGGAAGAAGGAAATGCAGGGTAGGGAGGGTACAAAGCAAGGCGCACCTGGGAAGAAGGGGCTAACTGAGCCTTGAAAGCCCAGTAGGAATCCTCCAGGTATAGAAGGAAGGCTACAGGAAGAACAAAGGCAGAGGCCTGAGGAAGCACAGCCCACCATGGCAAGAGTAGCCAGGTGAAGGCACAAAGTTTTGTTCAAACAGCCGTATGTGCTTGGGGGTGACTTCAGAGAAGATGCAGATAGATGCCATGGTATAAAGAAGAAAGGCGATGCTCATGGGCTGTCTTGGGGATGGCAGTGGAGGAAGACGCTCTTTCCTTAAAGGCCAGTGGGTGGGAATTGAGGAGAGAGAGGGCTCAGAAATAGGAAAGATTTTAGGAAAGCTTTTCCCTCTGGTCATATGATTTTTTTTTTTTTTTTTTTAGATGGAGTCTCACTCTGTCACCCAGACTGGAGTACAGTGGTGTGACCTCAGATCACTGCAACCTCCACCACCCAGGTTCCAGCAATTCTCCTGCCTCAGCCTTCTGAGTAGCTGAGATTAAAGGCATCCGCCACCACGCCCAGCTAATTTTGTGTATTGTTAGTAGAGATGGAGTTTCCCCATGTTGGCCAGGCTGGTCTCAAACTACTGACCTCAGGTGACCCACCCACCGCAGCCCCCAAAAGTGCTGGGACATATGATCTTTTCATAAAGGTAATAATACCATTTTTGCCATGGTAATAATGCCATTTTATTTGTAGGGCACTAAGCAAAAATATATTATTAGTAGAACTCAAAATCTGTTTTCTACCTCTTCTTCCTTTTCCCAATAGAGACTAGTCATCCCTCATCCATGTTAATGGCTTAAACCAATAATAGAAATGATTAATGACTAATCTAGGAGATATTTAAATTTGACTTAGGAGTAAACTATCAATTTTTGGCAACAAATTTACCGCTCAACTTATTTAACACTATAGCTAACTTTTAAAAATAACTCCTGTTGTTTGTCTCCATCTCTAATCATTCTCTTAGGTTAGATTCCTGGAAGAGGAATTACCAGGCCAAAAGGTTTGAACAGCTTAAAAGTTCTCGGTACACATGGACACGGGAGGGGAGCACTACACACTGGGGTCTGTTGTGGGGAAATGGGGGAGGGACGGTGCGGGGTGGGAAGTTGGGGAGAGATAGCAAGGGGAGAAATGCCAGATGTAGGTGATGGGGAAGAAGGCAGCAAATCACACTGCCACGTGTGTACCTATGCAACAATCTTGCATGTTCTTCACATGTACCCCAAAACCGAAAATGCAATAAAATAAATAAATGGAATTTAAAAAAAAAAAGTTCTTGGTACATATCAGCATAGTCTAATATCAAAACCAGGGTAACTACATCAACTTCAGATAACCAAGAAAATTCCCTGGGGATTAAATGTTGCTATAAATAATACACTAAAATTAAAATCCAATAATGTATTACAAATAGATCTCAGGCTGTGCAAGCTAGAGAAAACTTTTATTTAGGATGGCATTCACACCAATTAGTGCATTTGTGCATATAAACATAAACAAGCACAAATGTTGCACAAAGAAAACAAAAGGTGGAAGGGCCCACAGATTCTGCAAGAGATGAAAAGGAATCATGAAATTATGTTCTCCTTGTAAAAAAGGAAAATTTATTTTGTGCTTTCCATACTTTCTTACCTAACTCTTTATAGTAATAATAAGTTTTCTGTTGCAATGATCAGGTTTAAGGTTAGAAGAAAAACTGGTATTTTAAATAAAGATCAACAAATTGGTTTTTAATATAATTATGTTAACTGTCTATTTCTGCAAATTAGCATTCTGCACAGTACTGTTTTCATAGATCTTCAGAAAGGAGTAATTATGTAAAAAATGACTGAGATTCTTCAAAAGACAAAGAACTTTGTTACCACAAAAGTTTCATGAAAGGCAAATTTAAAGCTATTAAAAGTCAAATCTTAAAATCATGCTTTCTTGACAATCTTTGTTACATATAATAATTCTATAAATCACCAGTTACCAGGATGTTCTCAAATACCTGTACATTTGCAGAGAATGTGGCCCCTGGGTGTCAAGCATATTGATTTTGAGAAGTCAACCATAAGCCAACCTGTACATTTTACATCACTTGAGACATTATTCTTTCCTTCTTGCCACAGCCAAGAAGTGAATTTTTTCTGTCATGGTGGTAGGCAGAAAGTTGACAGATTTCAGAACACTAAGCAGGAAGTTTGGCACCTGAAACATTTTCCTCCAGACCAAGGGGGCATGGAACTGGTTGCTGGAAAGGGAAGGATTTGAATGAGATCACAAAAACTAAAGCTCCTGGTTCTTTGAATGATGCTCTCCCAGGAATCTGGGTGGAAAGAAGCCAAGGCTCAAATTCTTTGTCTTTTCAGCAGTGAATAGGAAAAATTCAACTTTTGAGTGATGTCTCAGCAGTTACTTTCACTCAGTTTTGCCTCTTCGGCCCTAAAATGAATGAAACGTTTTCAAAGCAGAGGGCAGTGAGTCAAGCACAAACTGGGAAAGTACATTCCCAGTTCCACGAAGTCCCAAAGCTTGATTACAGTACTCTCAGGGGCCCTGTAAACAAGGGACCAGAAACTGAGCAGAGGAGAGATTTTAAACTGGGGGCGGAGGAGGGGGGAGACCGTAGGACTAGGATGGGGTGAGCGCCACATGTGGCTTTAATATCCAACAGCTGCTAGAGATCATCACCCCACTGCTCCCTCTATACCCCCACACTAGAATCCTATGTTTCAAACATCCTAACTAAAGCGGCCACTGCCATGTTATCTGAGTAACGAACTCAAGCTCCAGCACATTCAAGGATTTTTTTTTGAACTTAGTGTACCTGAATGTAGCCGGCTGGACCTTTAATCACTAAACCAAAGCTTTAAAACGCAGTCTCCCGGAAAAGTCGAGAAGGGAAAACAATTAACACAGTGCACTTGAGCAGACTGGGTAGTGGGGTAAAAGAAAGGTGAGGGAAGATGGGGCAGCTGGGATTCCCTAGACTGGATCTTTCTTCTCTCCAGCTCACTTTTCAGACCCGGAGCTCTCCAAGGCTCCCGCAACTCAGTGAGTCCGGGGCACTAACAAATCCCCGCGGGGGTCGCCGCACCCGCAAACGCAGCATCCACGCGCAGATTCCCGCGCCTGCGATGCCCCGACCCGTCCCGGGTCCCCGCACAGACAATGCCGCGCGCGCTTCCAGCGGCCACTCCGGTACCCGCGCCCCGCGCCGCCCCGACGTCCCCCTGCGTCTGCCAGGGACACTCACCGACACCAGGAACTCCAGCGTGCCCACATAGTCGCGCTCGGTCTTCTGGAGCTCGCTGAGCACGCACACGCGCAGGCGAAGCTGCTTCTCCAGGTCTTTGGCGCTCTCGGCGCGGCAGTCCCCGCGGCTGTCCTCGCTCATGGTCGGCGGCGGTGCGCGGCGCTGCCAGCCGTGCTGAGCGCTGACCCGCGCGCCGGCTGCTGCCCGGCCCCCGGCGGCGAGAAAGGAAAGTTGCCGCCTCCCCCAACTCCGAGGAGAGACAGACGACTTTACATGCTGGGGAGAGGCTGGGCGCGGGGAGAGGAGGGGATCGGGCTGCAATCCCGGCGCGGGGGGCGCGGGGCTCCGCAGAGGAAAATCCCGGGAGTGGGGGCTCCGGCCTGTCCCTGCGCACCCGGCCCCGCTGCTCTGGCCTCACTCGGCCTGGGCTGGAGGGGAGGTGGCTCCGGCAGCCACAGCGGTGACTTGGACATTAATCAAATGCTTTGTATCCATGTGACTCCGACCCTTTACCCTTCGCCAAATCTCAGGAAAAAGGAAACACAACCCTGGGGAAGTGCTGCGTGCTGGCTAATCACACATACGCGCAGGCACACGCATCAGCACTTGAGATGGAACTCACGCGCGCGCGTGCACACACACAGACACACACCAGCTCCTGAGATAGAACTCACAGGAGGTTCCCAGTCCCAGGGACACACGCTCCAAAGCGCAGCTCAAGGGTTACTCCTGAGACTCCGCTATTGTTTAACTTTAATGTGTTTTGTACAAATCCTGAAAGCAAAGAAACAAGTCCCCACGGTTACATAACTGGATGGGAACAAAAACAACCACGGTATTGACCCTCCGGTCTTTGAAAAAAAACACATTGATTTTTGGTTTCATTCAGGCACAAAACAGGTTTGCTTTTAAAACCTTCCAACTGAGAATAGTTCACAGGGCAGACACCCTCCAGTCTGAGCTTGGAAAGTCAATTAGCATAATAAATGAAGACACTATGGGAAAATGACAGCCTCTGCCCATGCAATAAACCCCAGATAAAATAAGCATCACCTTTGTACTGTGCTGTTTTCCATGTCTATAACTTTTTTCAACGTCAAGATAGTGTGTAAATCCACCAAGAGGCGAGGGCATTTGTGCCGGTTTTGTTTCTAAGAGCTGCTGTGATTTAAGACGGTGTCACCAATTGAAAAGATGAAGCTGTTGTTGAATGCTCATCAGAAGATAGAAAGCTAGATAGATACGGAAATAATCTCAGGTTTTGAAGACAGACACACAGAACATTCTTGATTTTAATGTTAAAGTTTACTGCCTTTTCTCATTTGGAAACTAAGCCTTAAATATTTCCAATACATTTAACAGACCAAACAATTTACATATATTTTTGTCTTGCTATTATCCACATATATTTTCCACAGTCATGTTAGATCAACTTCAAGCAGTCTAAAACTAATGGCACTTAAATAAACTGAAGAGTGAATAGTGTTGATGCAAGAAAGTGGTGTGTTAATTTGTTGCAGTTGCTGAAAGCATTAGCAAAACTCTAAAACATAAAGATGCTTTTCACTGTATTTACATTGAAATAATTACCTATTGGTTTTCCAGATTATGTCTTTCCAGAGCATGATGTGACCATTCCCCTCTGTAACCACACAAAGACAGATTGTACTTTGTATATTAAAGATACAATCTTTGAATGATGTACACAGAGCTGATGGGTAAGGTGTGATTTTCCTCTTTCTTTTACAAATGACTAGAGGTAACCAAGAGCAAAGGGCAAACAACGATGGCTTCACACCCTGTGGCAGAAGAACAAAGCGTGAAGCACATTAAAGAGCAGACCTCACAGCACCTAGTAAACAATAAACAAAAGAACCAGAAGACACACTAAGCACACATGCAGAAATGAATGGGAAACTCAAACATGACTGAACCTCTCCCCATGTACTACAGGCAGCATTTCTTCCTCCCAAGGTCTGCATCTTTCCCTAGGGAAAAAAGCAAGTAAATAAAACAACTTTCCATCAGCTGTTCTCCTGCATAAAATAGAATCTCTTGTACTAATTGTCCCCAGTAGAGAACTGCTTATGCAATTTCCTTCTATTAAAAAAATTAGTCTATGGACAACCTGTTAGGGCTGCAGGCTTATCTCTGAAAGCAGGACACTTGAGTTTGAATCATTAACGGGGTTTTACCCATCCAAAGCATTTACTTCAATTCTACAAACATACACTGGGGATCTCTACGTGCATTGCATGGTGCAAAGGTCCAAGAGCCACAGAGACCCTGATCTGCAGGCAGATATTTCTCAAGGTGGTTCACAGACCACTGAGTTACAATCACTTGAGGTTTTGTTAAAACGAACATTTCTGGACCCCACCACAAATTTGTTGAATGAGAATCCCAGAGATATCTGCCCTAAATTATCTTAACAAGGTCTTCAGATTGTTCTTAAACTGACTAATATATGAGGACCACCATCTAAAGACTTACAATTGAGTCAGGAAGAGTGTCAAAGTGACATGTAACTCTGTTTAAAAGGTAAGATGCAATGAATGATTTGCAAAAAAAAAAAAAAAAATGATGCAATGGAAGCTAGCAGAAAAATATTCATATTTAATTGTGTAAATTCACATTTCTCTCAGAAGTGATTGTGTAGAAATTCTTAAGATATTTAAAGTTTCTGAACACACTTCTACTCCTTGGTCTACTCCTCAATATCATTTATAATTAATGAACAACTTCAGGACACTGTGTAGTGCTTTCTGCCAGCCAGCTCTCAATGTCTTCTGTTGTCCTGGCTAGAGTTCTTAACTCCTCATCAAAGACATAAGAGCATAAGAAAACAGGGCTGGAATATCTGGAAACCTTCACTTTGATGGTAAATAAGGTCTTTCATAAACTCTGAATGTGTTGTATCCCTCTTCACTTCCTCTATTGAAACTTTAGGCTCTGTCTGCCAGGAAAAGGAAAGCAACAACTAAAATGATGGACATGATCCAGTTTTTTCCTCAAATACTAATGAGGTTGAAGCATCCACTGAAAAGGAGATGGGAGAAAAGAAGATGGAGGAAAGACTGAGCAGGAAACTAGCTCAGCCATTGAATTTATTTCATGTGCATGAACACTTGGTGTGGTTAGAATCCATTCTCATATGGGAGGTTAGGGCTGGAGAATCACTTGAGCCCAGGAGATCAAGGCCACAGTGAGCTATGATCACACCACTGCACTCTAGCATAGGTGACAGAGCAAGACCTTGTCTCCAAAAAGAAAATAATAATAATAATAATAATAATAATTTGTTATCATAAGGTTCAAAGAGCCAAAACTCAGTACACAGTAGGCTTTTTTTGGTCAGGCCCAGAGAAAGACTACTCCTATACTAAAAGTCTAAAAAGTACAAAGCTGCTTTTTTGGAAAAAGAGATCTCCTTAGTCATATTTCAGATAGATGTCATTTTAGCCTCTCTGCCATTTCACTAGATCAAATTTGATGCTAAAGATCAGTAAAAGATACAGCCCAGACAAAAATAGAAGGCTTGCTTTACTGCATGGCTGTCTTGTTAAATAGAGAACTCTAAGAGTCAGACTGCTCTTTATCAGTAAATTATACAATAAAGATCTTTATACAGTAAAACTGATTCTGTCATTTTATTTGCTACTCTGGACTATGATAGACAACTCTAGATCATATATATTCCCACACATAGACATATATAAATTTATATATTTCCATATATATTTCATATATGATATAATTGAACATGTTTATATAGCTATATATGCATGTATACATATATATGTGTGTGTATATATAATTTACATATTACATACATATAATTATTATATAGAGCAAACTATCATAGACACATTGGAACTATATTAACACACTTTTAGGACTCTTGGACAGTAAGTAATTCTAAAAGTATTTATTTATTTATTTTACAATTCATGTTTACTCCTCCAGTTACTTCCACTTAATTTTTTTTGGCAATTTAGTCACATCAAGCACAGAATGTCCTAGGGCATGTAATTAATTCTACCATACTTGTATAAGAATTTTAGAATATGTATTGCTTAAAGGACAAAATACAGTTTTTGTAAGTCATATTTTATTCTCTAACACAATATTTTATGGCATGGCAAACTAAATCAATGTTTGGATGGTATTACTTTAGAAAGAATCTAAAGCTCTTAAAGATGCAATTATTTTCAGATCAAATTGTCACCATAACTCTCATCCAACATGGAATGGATAATCACTTTCTCATTATGAAAACTTGATCTACAATCATCCCAGTAAAATAAAAAGACAATTTTTGTCTGCGAGTTGTCTCCGAAGAATATCAACCTTGCAGTGTCCACCTCCCTTCTAAGCCTTCCTTCCCCATCACTTCCTTTAAAAATCTGCAGCTGCACATGCCTTCAAGCTATGCTACATTACTCTTCTTCCTGGAAAAATTTCTAAAGAGCTCTAGTCATTGTCTATGGTAGGCAGAAGAATGCCACCCCAAAGATATTTGCATCATCACCCCCAGAACTATAAATATCACTTTACAAGGCAAAAGGCTGATATGGCTAAGTTAGGGACCTTGAGAAGGAGACGTGATTGGGGGGACAGTATAAGCACATGAGTCCTTAAAAGCAAAGACGCTTTTCAGATATGATTACAGAGGGAGCTGTGACCGGAGGAATGATTAGAGAGATGAAACATTGCTGACTTGAAGACGGAGGAAGGGACCACAAGCCAGGGATCATAGGTAGCCTCTAGAATCTGGAACAGGTCCTCCACAGCCCCCAGAAGGAACACAGCCCTGCGAACACTTTGATTTTAGCCCAGTAAGACTCGTATTGGACTCCTTAACCCACAAAACATGAAGATAATAAGTGTGTGTTGTTTTAAACTACTGAGTTTGTTATAATTTGTTTTTAGTAGCAAAAATAAATACATTGTCTTTACTTCTTTACCTCCCAATCTTTTCTCAACTGCTATAATGTGACTACCCCCCCACTGCTGCAGTAACACTCATCTGATACAGATCACTCTTGTCTTTATGTTTTTAATTCCAATGCATGCTTTTCATTTCTTGTCCTATTTGACCTTCCTGCAGCATTTGACAGTGTTGATTTCTCTCATCCTAGGAAAACTCTCATCTTCTGCCTCCTTAGATGTCCATGTTCTCTCTTTCTTTGGATACCTATACCCTTTCCTTGTGAAGTTCTCTTTCAGGGCCCATTTCTAAATCTTTAAATTCTTCAATTGATTTCTTCAAGCTGATGTTCTTTGGAGATTGGTCCTCAGCCTCCTTTTTCTTACTCTCTCTAGGTCATTTATTCAATATCTCCTATTCCCAATTAGTCAAGGATTGCCCCACTGGGCATTAATTGATTCCTGTACTTCCTTGTTGCCCATGCATGAGTGCCAAGAGGCTTACACAGATGAGATTTGCATCAGGAAGCAAGAAGGATGAAAGACTCTTTGCTTGTTCCTGTATACAGTTGTGGAAGCACTTGTGGAACTGGTCTCATGGTCATCAGGAATAAAAGAAGAGGTCAAGAGAGTTGTTCCTGGAATACAAGAGTGGTTTGACCCTGCTCCAAATCCTTCAGAATAAAGGCAAATGTCATGTA